TTCATACTTTTATATTAAGTTTTGTATATACTCTATTCAATATTACAAATTATATACATTATCAAAAATACATTTAATCGAAACATTTTTAAATACCAATTATCGCATATATATATATATATAATTATTTTTCCTTTTCCTTTTCCTTTTCCTTTTGTATAGCTTTTTAATTTTTAAACCTACTTTTAAGTTAATTTCTAAAAATTATTTTTAGATGACAAACCAAATCCTCAAGAATAAGTTCTCTTTGTAACAGATTATTTATTTCCTACTATATTTTGTAGGGTAACTGTCGGATGGGAGTAATTAGTATATCAAATGAGGGGTAATATGGTAATTTCATAAAGACAAGGGAGGTTGCAGAGATACATGAAAGGATAGTAAAATGTGGAAAGTTGAAATGAGTGTATTTATTTATATAAAAATAATAATATAAATATTTATTTTATTCTCTCTCTCTACTTTGAAACATACACTCACAAACTTTATTCATGTGTGACTGGAAAAGGAAAGAAGACTAAGTTTCACGCGTCAGCTTTTCTCCCTACACGACACCGTCTCTTGATTAATTCTATAAAGTTAATCACCAACTTTTACTATCATTAATCAAGTCCCCCTAACTATATTCTTACCAACGGCCATGATCTTTCGCTTTCTCTCTACACCCTCCTGCTACCCGCCCGATCCTCCTCCTGCTTTTTCAGCTCATGTTCTCCCGGCCCCACTTAATATCAGCCTATTTTTTACTATTTTATTTAAATGAATAAGATTTTTGTCTCATCCTAATATTTATATCTTTTTTCTATGAAGACTCAAAATTAATAATTTGAATTTTCTGAATTAATTAAATATGCTAATATCTTAACCTATTTTATTTTTATTTCATGATATACCTTATGTTTTGCAGATATGAAAAAAAAAATTATATTAAATTTCTTAATATATGATTATTAAAATCCACCATTTTAGAAAAAAAAACTTGACTACAACCCTCTAAAAAAGACCCTAAAGAATATCAAACCGTAAAATTTCTTTTGAAAGTGTGAATTATTTATTAACCATCAAAATATAAATATCTATTTATTTTTTTTCAATCAATTTTTTTTTTTATCATATCTATTTGAATTTATAATATTTGTACATTTAATTTTAACGAAGATAAATTACGTTGATAGATCACGCGGGGGAGAGGCGCGTGAAGAAGGGAAGGAAGAAAAAGGTGAGCGTAAAAAGGTAGCAGTAGTTGAAGTTGAAGAAGGGAAGAACTCGAAAAACGCGTAAAAGGAAAGGGAGGGCGTGCGTTACCAAAAGGGAATATGATGATGATCATTATTTTTATTTCTTGTTTGGCAAAGAATATTAAATAATAATAATAAAAAAAAAAAAAGTGCTTTTGTACTACTACTTCTACTTCTTCTTCTAGCTTTTTAGCTTTTTGTTTTATCAAATTAAAACAAGACTTGTAAAGTTAGGAATCCCCAAAAAAGCTACTCCAACTTCAACTTTTTTTATTATTTTTTATTTATTTTCATTTATTAATTTCTTAATTAGTCATTAATCATATAGGCACCCTTTTCTTCGTCTTGTTTCTTTTTTCTTTCCTTTGAGCCCCTCTCATTTTAAATATGATAGTTATGGACTTAATTATCTTTAGTTTGATTTAGGGTGGATTTTTTTTAATGCTTCTTCTAGAAGTGCTTTTAAATAAAGCTTTTAATAGCATACACATCCCTTAAACTTTAGGAAAACAGTAATATAAAATATAAAAATTATAAGTTATTTCAAAATAAGTAATAATATATTTTATATTATTATCATCGTCAAATTAAGATCGTCTCTCTTAATTTGAGCTCTTATAATCAAATAAATCTCAACTTAAGCTTAATCTGCCAAGATCTTTCAAAAAAATTTATGATTCTGCATTAAAAACTATCTTATTGTTTTAATATATATATATATATAATTTTTTTTTTTTTTGAATGTCACTTTTGATTATTAATGCTATAATGACAGCTTGTTTTACAATTTAGAAGGTCCAAGTATTAATGAGAGTTTCAACGTAAGCTATTTAGTATTAATTATTGAGAAAGACTTTTTTATTTTTAGTGTGGCCACGGCCTCTCATTGATGATATCCACATTGAAAAGTCTTTCATAGACTTCCCCTGCCGACTTCAAAAACAAATTAAATGTTGGATTTTATTAGCCGGTTGCACATGTGAAGGGTAGGATTCTACCACTATCAACACATTTAATGTTCCATTTCACATTTTAAAACCCTAAAATACGACAAATCTAGAATAGCACGGTGATAATAATACATCAATTATATCATAAACCAATGTTTTTTTTATGATACATCTAAATCTTCTCTCTCTTATATCTATCTTTATGATTAATATTATTCGTATTAGATTATAATATTTTGTCTGAATTTTCTTTACGATTGATATAATTCAAAAAAGGGTATTAACTGTTTTTTGAAAATACCCATTAATAATTGAAATAAAAAACTTGAGTATGGAAGGCAATTTGTTGCCAACCATAAAATAATGAGATTCAAGTTTTAAATGACACAAAATTTGAAACTTTCCAAATTATCATCATTCTTCCAAAAGGTTAAATGAAGTTTGTTGGGTTCACTATCTTCAATCATCACAAATTCTTTTTATTAAAAACTTTGGATTCATAACAATTAACTTCAAATAATTTTTATTAGAAACTATATTTAGATAAAGGTAACATTACATGTGACAATTTAGACGAGGGTAACATTACCTGTGACACTCGAGAAGTTTCTAAAAACAATTAAGATATTTTCACCTTTTACCTAGGTCATTAAGTTATCGGAACTTTAATTTGACAACTAAGATGAGAGTAACATCTGATTAACCTGAATAATCTATCACGATACGGGGATAACATTATCTTTTCACATGAATCATCAGATCACCCTAAATTTTTTATCTGAAACTTGGATTCGACAGTTTAGATGAGGGCAGTGTTGAGGATTAGGTAAATGGGGGTTTAGTAGGAAAATAAATTAAGGGTGGGCATAAATATCGTGGGTTAGGGGGTAATGGGGGGAGAATGAGAGAAAAAAAAAGTGTTTTATGATTGTGATGGACTTGTGATAAAAGGAGTGATTAGTGAGGAAAGAGAGATGGGGTTAAGTATGAAAGGTGCAATGGCTTTGCAGGGATTGCGTGTGAAAAGCAGAAAATTGGTTGAAAGGCAAATTAAAAAGGGCACCAAAAAGCTTACAAACTTTCGATTATCTACCTTTAATCCCACCTAATTTCAAAGCGCGTATAATCTTTTTAAGTTTCCTCCGAACTCTCTTCTCTTTTTCTCATTTTTACGGAAAAACATATCTAAATTTTTTGTTATTGTATTTTTATAAGATGTATTAATTATGTATTATTTGTTAAATCTTTTAGGGTACAAAAATTCTCTTAAAAACATCTATATTTGTAGAGATAAATTTGTCGTCTTAATCCGTGTAATAATAGATAATTTTTTCTAAAAATAAATAATCTTGAATAAAATTTTCCGAATTTCAAGGAGTTTCTAAGAAATATTCTAAAACATTAGTAGATTTTTTTAATGAATAACAGTTAAACACACACCCTTTAATGTTTAAAACTAAACATGTTGGAATTTATTTTTGTATGATAAATAATTAGTAGATTTTTTATTATAATATATAATTTGAGAAGGAAATTTCAAGGGAGTTTCTAGAATTTTAAAATTAGTGTAATTTTATTTTGCATGAATAATATTAAATACAACACCCTTTTATTTATTGTTTTTATAAATTGCTTCTAAAATAAATACTTAGAGTTTTGATAAATTTAGAGACGCGCAAAGGAAGCGAGTGAAGAAAGTTGTATTGTTGCATGATTACTGAGAGAGAAGAAAAATACAGTGTGAATAAAAAAGGTTCCAATCTAATAACAAACAAAACAAAGACAAGAAAGCGAGGATTTAATTTTAAACCCCGAATTAAAAAACAAAAAAAAAAAAAAAAAAAAAAAAAAAAGGTAGTCAATACATGGTCATAGACTCAGTATAAAGAGATCTGGAGATTATAAAAAGATATAAGTCAAGTCATCATCCTCTCTCTCTACTACTCCCTCTTCCTCTTCTTTCTCTATCAAGTATCACCCCTAAAATGTTCCTTTCTCACTCCATATCTCTAAATATATAGAGAAAAGAGTAGTTAATACTCTATATATATATATAACTATACCCTTAGAAAAAGCCCTAAACCCAAATACACTTATTGCAATACAATCAGTCAATATAAAAAATGTATTTTTTTGTCATGATGTAGTGAAATGTAATTTTATAAACATCACTGGATGGTCAAACGTCAAATATAACTCTTAGTATATATTACTCAAAGATCTTAGTGTAAGTGTTTTAAAAACTTCATGACCGATCGTCTATCTAACAAATAATGGCAACTTTCTCTTTATATCAAACGAATCACTCACAAATCAACCAAGTAATATATAACAACTGAGCCATTAAATATTTCTCTCTCTGTGTCTATATATATATATATATATATGTTTCACCGAAACTTTAAGAAAACGATGTCTGGAGGTTAAAACAAACCTATAAAAAAATGTTTAAAACATGATAGCTGAATAGTGTATTAATTTGAAGAGATTATGAGACATTAGAAGTAGGAGACAGATTTTGCTTGCATTACATTTCTCTCTCTCTCTCTCTCTCTCTCTCTCACTGTCCACAAAGCATTTTCCAGAAATCCTTGCAACTCATAGTACAATATTATTATAATACTTCCAAGTCCTCAATTTTCCATAAATTCTTCTCTTTCTCTTTCTCTCTACAATATATATATATATATATATATATATAAATAAATAAACAAAACATACACTTCATTCCATCTGCTCCTTAACTACTTTACATGTTCTCTTCTTCTTACTACTGTAATATTTGAGAAAAAGTTGAACCAGTAACCACTTCTTTTTATATATACTATATATAGTCTTGGTTTTCTTTTAGCTTTATTTATTTTGGATATTCAATCACTGAGATAGAGAAAGAAAGATAGAATAAGAGGAAGAAATGGAGAAGCTTTGCATGAACTCTAAAGGGATCTCTATTTGTTGATTATTTTGTTTGTGTTTGGGTTATAGTTTTCTTTATTTAATTCAGATTATATATATAGAAAGGAGGAATTTTTATCGTTATATTGAGACAAATGAGAGCTGGGTTGAGTACGATTCAACAGACGTTGACGCCGGAGGCGGCAAGTGTGTTGAACCATTCTATAACGGAAGCGGGTCGACGGAACCACGGCCAAACGACGCCGCTCCATGTGGCGGCGACCCTTTTGGCGTCCCCATCTGGGTTCTTAAGACAAGCGTGTATAAAGTCTCATCCCAATTCGTCTCATCCGCTTCAGTGCCGGGCTTTGGAGCTCTGTTTCAGCGTGGCCTTGGAGCGTCTCCCCACCGCGCAGAACATGAGCCCCGGCCTGGACCCGCCAATTTCCAATGCTTTAATGGCCGCTCTTAAGCGGGCACAAGCCCATCAACGCCGTGGATGTCCCGAGCAACAGCAGCAGCCGCTTTTAGCCGTGAAAGTTGAGCTTGAACAGCTTATAATTTCCATTCTTGATGACCCGAGTGTGAGTAGAGTGATGCGTGAAGCTAGCTTTTCAAGTCCGGCGGTTAAGGCCACTATTGAACAATCCTTAAATTCGACCCCTTGTTCTGTTTCAGTTTCGAATTCGAGCCCAATTGGGTTGGGATTGAGGCCTAATCTTAATAGAAATTTATATGTCAATCCGCGGTTGCAGCAAGGAACCGGAGGGGGAGTACAATCTGGGCAACAAAGAGGAGAAGAAGTGAAGAGAGTAATGGATATATTGATGAAAAGTAAGAAAAAGAATCCGGTTTTGGTGGGGGAATCGGAGCCGGAAATGATCGTAAAAGAATTGTTGATAAAGATTGAGAGTAAAGAGTTAGATGGGGTGTTGAAGAATGTTGAGGTGATTCGTTTGGGGAAAGATTTTAGTTTTGAGAAGGGCGAGCTTGTGTTAAAGTTAAGAAAATTGAGTGGGTTAATTGAGAGCAAGATGGTTGGAAATGGAGGGGTGATTGTGGATTTGGGTGACTTGAAATGGCTGGTGGAGCAACAGCTGAGTTTTGGGGTGTCGAATTCGGGGGCGGTACAACACCAGCAAGTGGTGGCGGAGGCGGTGGCGGAGATGGGGAAGATGCTGGTAAGATTTGATGGTGGTGGTGGTGGAGGGAGGTTGTGGTTGATTGGGACAGCTACTTGTGAAACATATTTGAGGTGTCAAGTTTATCATCCTTCAATGGAAAATGATTGGGATCTGCAAGCTGTTCCTATTGCTGCCAAAGCTCTTCCAGGGATGTTCCCCAGGTATATTTTGACCAATTTCTCAATGATTTTAGATTACACCTTAGATTTATCATCATCATCATCAAGAATTTCTGTCTATAGAATCCAAGATTTTAGAGTTTTTATCTATAGATTTTTCCTTCTCTTGAGAAACTTACTCATTTTGAAGTTGAATCTTGTGTTTAGATATGGAATCCTAAAGTTTTTTTTAGGTGTTTTTATTTATTTATTTCTATATTTTTACAATGGTCTTAGTTCATGATTCAACTTTGCAGTTTCTTGGACTTTGAATGATGACCTTCATGTTTGTTTAATTTGGTCGTATATTTACTTCTTTTTTTTTTCCCCCCTTTTTTCAAAGGATTGGGAGCAATGGGAATGGAATTCTGAGTAGCTCTGTTGAGTCTTTGTCCCCATTGAAGGGCCTTCCAACAAGGCGGGTCTCTGAGAACATGGATCCTGTTCAGCGAATGAGCTGTTGCCCGCAATGTATGCAGAATTATGAACAAGAAGTTGCGAAATTAGCCAAGGAGTTTGAGAAGTCCTCATCAGAAGTTAAATCAGAGGCAGCAAGGCCATCGCTGCCACAGTGGTTGCATAATGCTAAAGCTCATGATGATGCTAAAACAGTGGATCAGACACCGGTAAGTTTAAGTCAAATTGATCACCTCGTTTCGGATAATGTTTTGTTCTTTGTGTTTAAAGACTTGATTACTTCTAGATTAACAAGTCATTTGTATTGTTGTGCTTTTTTCAGACCAAAGATCATGATTTGATCTGGAAGCAAAAAAGCCAAGAATTGCAGAAGAAATGGAATGATACATGCTTGCAGCTACATCCTAATTTCCATCAGCCCGGTTTTGGTACCGAGAGAATCATGCCATTGCCTCTCTCAATGACGAGCTCATACAATCCAAACCTGTTTGCACGCCAACCTTTCCAACCAAAGTTACAACTGAATAGAAACCTTGGAGACGCACTACAATTGAACACAAATCGGGTCCCCAGCCAGCCATCTGATCGTGCAGTTTCTCCTCCAGGTAGCCCTGTGAAGACACAGCTTGTTCTTGGTCGATCAAAGGAAAGCACGCCTGAGAAAAACCATAAAGAACATGTCAAAGACTTCTTAGGCTGCATATCTTCTGAACCACAGAGTAAGTTCCATGAATCAAACATAGTAGATGCTGACTCGTTCAAGAGGCTTGCCAAAGGTCTATTGGAGAAAGTATGGTGGCAACACGAAGCAGCGAGTGCTGTTGCTACAACTGTCACTCAATGTACATTGGGGAATGGAAAGCATAGAGGTGCTGGATTGAAGGGAGACATGTGGCTATTGTTTACTGGTCCTGACAGAGTTGGCAAGAAAAAGATGGCATCAGCTCTATCAGAGCTGGTATGTGGTGACAGTCCAATAACGATCTCTCTTGGCTCAAGACGTGATGATGGAGACTCTGATGTTAGTGTCCGTGGTAAAACAACTTTGGATAGAATAGGAGAGGCAGTGAAGAGACACCCGTTTTCTGTGATCTTGCTTGAAGATATTGACGAAGCAGAAATGCTTCTTCGAGGAAACATAAAACGGGCAATGGAGAGGGGCCGGCTTATTGATTCCCATGGCCGTGAGATCAATCTAGGGAAGGTTATCTTCATTCTCACTGCAAATTGGTTGCCAGACTCTCTCAAATTCTTGTCCCATGGCATTACCCTCGACGAAAAGAAGGTAGCTAGTTTAGCAAGTGGAGGTTGGCAATTAAGGCTCTCCCTTTGGGAGAAAACAGCAAAACGCCGCCCCAGTTGGCTTCACGATGAAGAAAGATCAACAAAACCAAGAAAGGAAACTGGTTCTGGACTATCATTTGACCTGAATCAGGCTGCTGATGTTGGAGATGACAAAGCAGACGGATCACACAATTCAAGCGACCTCACAATTGATCACGAAGAAGAACATGGCCTTAATAACAGACTGTTATTATCACCCTCAACCTCGCCAGCATCTCACCACCTCCTTAACTCAGTAGACAGCGCCATTGTCTTCAAGCCTGTGGATTTCAGCCTCATTAGACACGACATTATAAACTCGATTACAAAGAAATTCTCCACCATCATCGGCAATGGTCTTTCACTCGAAATCCTTGACGACGCCCTCGAAAAAATTGTAGGCGGTGTATGGCTCGGCAGAACAGGTTTAGAAGAATGGTTAGACAAAGTCTTGATCCCTAGCTTGCACCAGCTCAAATCAAGGTTACCCACCAATACCGGTATGACAACAGATGAATCTTTGGTCGTTCGGCTTGAAACCGACGACGACTCCGGTACCCGAAGCCTCGGCGATTTGCTTCCGAGTGATATCAAGGTGGTGGTTGAAGGGTTGTGATTGTGATGAAAGGGATGTTTTTGGTAGAGATGTAAATATGGCCAAATGTTTTTGGCGGGGAGTGATAAACAGTTGAGGGTAAAGAGTAAAAAACAGTTAGAAGAGGAGACATTGATAGATTAACGGTACCTTTAGGAGCCAGTTAGGCAATGTCTCACCCTTTATTATTATTATTATTACTATTATTATTATTATTATTTCATTTCTTTATATTAAAAAATTTATAGTATTTTGTCATAGATATTTTTTAAATTACATGAATCATGATCAATAAAAATGAGGCATTCCTCTCTCTCTTTAATGTAATATATGAAATTTCTAGTTATAATATATTCATATTTTATTTATAATTGATGTGACAATTGATTTGATAAATTATTTTAAATATTATATCGTCGCAACATTTACATTGTTACGAAACTAATTCCTTTCGATTAAATTTTGAAATTTAAATCAATTCCAGTATGTCGAAATCATCTTATAGAGTGAATTTATATAAGTCAACTTAAATAAATTTGATTTACTATTAAATAACACTAGTCGTGTGGTGATTAGATTTTAGGTGATATATCGATATCACTCTAATCATGTCATGGCATTGCTCACTTTAACATGAGTACCATGCCTCATAAATTGATTTTCTATACATGATATTATTCTATAGCTGATTTTGTAACGTTAATAAAAATAAGCTTTTCAAACTATAATTTTATATTTAATACTATATTCCAATATAAAATTAAACATAAAAATGTCATGATTAATGATTGGATTATAACAAAACTCTAACATCTTCTCAAAAAAAAAAAACTCTTAGATCTAATGGTCATAAGTTGTACTATTGTATCGAGTCAACAATAATACAATATAGAGAAATTTCAAATCTTAAATATCTCGTTTTATGTAAAACATTAAGTTATTTTTTAGGATATGTTACATCAATTAAACTAAATCGATAACAGAAAAAATTCTACATATTTTTTATTGAGCATCGAATGACCACTTTTACCATTTTATATAGAAATAACATTATTACAATTTATGGAGACGGATTCCATAACTTCGGATATGGAATCCTATGGTCAATATATATAATAAAAATATATTAAAAGTCTATGAAAATTCATTATCAAAGTGACCCCACATTACAAAAACCAAATGTGACCTTTTTAATTTGAAAATTCATGCTTATTAATATCAACCCAATTTAAAAATTCATAAATTCACCTCTTATTTTGCGATGAAATTGACTTGACATTTCTATTTTATTTTATTTATTTTAAATTTTGATAATTGAATGGTTGTGAAGGGCTACCTAATTTGTTTGCAACGTGTTGTGACACGAGAATCATGCGGTTGCTTTCAAATGATTTTGGCTCTTTTCAGTTCTTGTCTTCGGAGTTGGTGAAAATCAGACCGTTTAAATTTCACCTTTTCTGTTTCAGTCAACACGTGGCACCATTCTATCTTCCTTTTTGTGCGGCGCCATGGCACAATCACGCTTGCGTGTTCGACTCAACGAAATCTGCCAGCCGTCAGATGAGTCGACTTTTCAAGCCGGTACTACATGATTATGATGCTTTTACCAAAGAGATTTTTTCAATAATCAAATCAAACCTCCAAAGCAATATATATTTTTTATTTTTTCTCTTTAATGCGTAAATACGAGTTTCACCAATCACCCCTAAATTTGGGGATATACTAATACTGAAAATCTATAAAATACTATTCAAAATATCTCATAATTCTAATTAAAAATGAGTTTATGGAGAGTTTAAGAAAGATTCTATTTTAGAATTTTAAAAATGTATATATCTATATGTGAGATCTATATAACTACTCTTCAATGCAAACATCCTGGAAATTTAATATGCCGTTTAATAGTGAACGTCTAATTGCTCATTGCAGAAATCATACAATAAAAAAGGAGTAACTAAACACTCATATATACATATAACTTTATTATTATTCTTTGTGATTCGATTCTTGGATTCCTTCTTGATTTATGTGAAATCAAGAGTCTTAATCACTATAATTAAACCGCATTCGATTCATGTGATCTTCACCTAAACGATGCAATTTAAATATGGCATGGACACTTGGAAGATGAATTAAATTTCACAATAATGGGATTAAGATGAGTAGAATTGACAACATGGTAAATAGAGGTGGAGATATGTATGAAGTAGGAAAGAAAGAAAGATAAGACCAAAAGCATCAAAATCCAAAGTGTTCAAATTTATTAAAAAAATTAAAACATAGCCTCCCCAAAAGGGAACTTCCCTTTTGCATTAGTGGATACAAGCAAGTCAAAATTGATTATGCATAGGAACAAGCTGGATTTGAATGGAGAGGAGAGGACAGCTAAAGCTTTTAATGAGTCCCCCAACCTTGCATGTGTTCTCGTTTAATATTATTCAATCCCCCCACCACATCTCTTGTTTTATTCACAAAATGAAAAGTTATTACCAAATGGGTGATTAGTTATCAAAGAAAAATATATAAAAAGAAAAAGAAAAAGGAGAATTTTTAACATAATCTTTATACCATAAATAATAAAAATCTGGGTTAGGAAACTGTGACTTTATTTTTACTATTGTTTATAAACAGTTTATATTTACATCTCTTACGGTGTTAAAGAATACTGAATTGGTATTAAAGGTAAACAATTTTCACTTCTCTTTTAACATTATTGGATCGACAAAGTAGATAACTCATAAGCAATAACAAATAATATTTAACTCGAAAATTTAAGTTAAAACCTGGATGCCATGAAATACATAATTAATGATGTAATAAGTTAGATCCCAAGTCTCTTGAAGAGTTATTGAAGGTATTGTTGGAAGAACAAAATCTAATCAAATCTCTTTTTGATATAATAGCATGATTAGAGGCTTAAATAAATTACTAATAATAATGCAATCAAATAATGGAGTATTGAATAATTAAGATAATAATAATAATAATAATAATATACTCTTCTACCTATTAGTCTTTATTCCTTTTATAATAAGACAATATAATTTTAAACATCATCAAACTCTAATCACATGTTAATCACCATTAATCAAACCTAATTTTATATTTATTAGAAGATGGAAGAGAGATAAGATAAGATCATCCTTATTTATTTAATTTTAATAAAATTAATTGATTATGAGTCCAACTCAAAAGAATATCCTAGAATACAAAGAAAGCTCCACTTGGTTTGTCTTGATGTATAAAAAAGAAAGACAAAATAAATAAATAAAAAAGGCGAAATGGCATTGTCTTCTACAACCCAATTAGCCTTTACACCTTTTATGCTTCTGTCCATTTGCTTGTGTCACATCCACCTTTTTAGAATAAAACAAAAGCCCCAACTACTCTCTTCATTTTCTTCTATCTTTTCTCAACCCCAAAGACAACGATTAATTTAATCAACTAAGATTAAGATTAGAATAATCAAAACTTTTTTCATTATAATATTCTATTACTACTTTTTTAGGTTTTAATTCTAATGCAAGCAAGAGCCATGCCCATGTGGACCATTTCCATTATCATTATATAAATCCAACCCTATCCTTTTCCGAAATTCTTCTTCTATAGATTTTTCACTATTTCTTTATGTATTATTAATTAAATTAATATAAGATTTATCTCCCTAAAGTAGCGTGTCTTCTTTAAAAGAACAGAATTTTAAGAAATAAAGGCTGCGTTTGTTTCACATTTTAGTATTCCCAAAAAAGTTAAACAGTAAAATACCCAAAATTTCAGACTTTTGGGAATATTACTCCCAAAATTATTCAACTTTTTTTAAACCCCTTAAATTTGATAATTTAATTAAATACCCCTAAATATTTTTTTTTAAATTACAAAAACACCCCAATAATCCACATTTACCAGATTCCGGCCACCACCACCGGAAAATGGCCGGAATCTGGTAGAATGGCGCACTACCGGCTGAATCTGGCCGGCAGTGCGCCGATCTAGCCTTTTCCGGCCAGATCCACGGTGGATCGGCCGAAAAGGCCAGATCTAAGGCCAAAGATGTGGCCGTTGACGGCCAGATCTTTGGCCGTAACACTCGTTCACGACGGCCAACAAACGGTCGTCGTTGACCATCAACGACGACGTTGTTGGCCGTCGTTGAAGCAATACGGCCAGATCTGGCCGTTGACGGCCAGATCTGACCGTAGATCTGGCCTTTTCCGGCCAGATCCACCGTGGATCTAGCCGGAAAAGGCCATAGCAACGCATGACCGGCAAGATCCAACCGGTCATGCACCCATACGGCGACTCCGGCCACCCTCCGGTGGTGGTCGCCGGCTGGGGGTGTTTGAGGTGGGGTTAGAGGTATTTTTGTTACTTTAATGTTTTTATTATAGGGGGTATTTTGTAAAAAACAAACATAAAGGAGATTTTATTAATTTATAAATTTTACCTCGTAATAACCCCCCCCAATTCAACTTTTTTTTAACTTTTTTCAAAAACTTTTCCCAAAACCCCTAATTTGAACCAAAACGCGGCCAATATAACTCAATTAACCACCTAGTAAAAAATAAAGGAAGATCTAGTTTATATGTCTCCTGATTTCAAGTACTCGCAACTCTTAATAAGGGGTGACCTTTGGAGCTTGACCTACTGATATGTCTAAATCTGTGAGTGTATTAATGTGCGCAATTGATCCAACACCCCTTGTCATCAAAAAAGAAAAAAATAAAAATAAAACTCAATTTTAATCTTAGAGAGTAGATTAAAATTATAATTGAATAGGCATCTTCAGTTTTATCAAATTTTAAACCTAACCAAATATCGTGTGGATGGAAATTTGTTTCCCAAATTAGTGTTAGCCACCATACAAACATGTTTTAAATTTATTTGTCTAGTTTAAATCCTTGCATATGCTCAAAACCAAAATACAACTTCATTGCTCATTGATGAAGAAATGACATGAGGCCATAAATCATCAATTAAACTTGTGCTAACATTTGTTTATTCATATTTTCTTTAATATTACTATATACGTATAAATTGATGTTTTTAATATTTTCATTTTAGCCTTTATAACATTTGTTTTTCGATTTCATGCAAACATCATTACCAGAATAGAATCTACTTATTTGAGAAGACCCAAAGCTTATATAAATTGAGTCCAACTCTTTCTATAACTATGTGAGATGTGACTGGAATTATTTC